TTTTCCCACTAAAATACTGTGCACACACAGTGCAGGCAGAGATCCTGAAGTCTGAACTTCAGTACAAATGGGAAAAAACAATTTTCTGAGTATGTCAGGGGAAAAGCCCAGAGGAGATTCTCTCTGCAGCCAAGGAAAGCTGGAGTCTGGCTCCAGTCCTGAATTATATCCCTCTCTGTCACTTGCCAAACACCATCTCAGCTCTCCAGATGCTGTGACATCCAAATACCATTCTGCATTTCAGTACCATCCCTGCTCTCTTTCCTGTATTATACAGTTCTTGGCATTTTTTCAATAGCTTCCCTAACCCCACATCCGAATTCCCTCAGATAGGTTTCAATAGCTTGCTGAGAGGCAGATAATCCACCCTTTGTCACCATGGATTGAGGCCTGTCTCAAAAAAAGAACAACTCCATTGCATCAGAGAAAAGCAGTTAGGAATAAATTTGCCCCTGCTAACAAGGCTTGACTGGGTCAGAGCTTTGTGTGCTGCAACAAAGAGTTTAAGACCCTGGAACATGTTCGGATTGCAGAGAAAATTCTATTCAGGCTCTGGAATGCACTGGATCACTGGTGGATTGCAGATTACATTTTACACCAGAGGAATATCGGATCCTTACAGAGCACCTGCCCTGCTCTGGAGCTAATTCCACATGATCTCTTATCTTTTTGAGGTGTCAGAGTCAGGCAGAAGACAATGCCAGGGGGAAGACAATCATACCCAGCTCTCAGTCATCAACTCATTCATCCATGCAGAGCTTTAATCCAACTGGGAGCCCAAGGTGCAATGACAGCTGGTAAAAAAAAGTTCCAGGAAACAACTTTCCCACTTGCCAGCAGGGTGAGGGAGAACAGCTCTGTGTCCTTAGGGACAGGCTCTGGGAGGTTTGAAGGCTTTGTTCTCCCCCAGCAGTGACAGACACACACTGCAAAACCTGATCTACAGAGGTTTGTTGGAGACTGTAAACACATTTGCTTTGGCCTTGCTCAGCCTTCCCTCACAGTCTCATTCCATGAATGTTCATGCCAGGGACTTCTCAGCAACTCATCTCTTTGTGAAAGTCAGATTTATGTCTGTTTTCTCAAGTTTAGGCAGCAAGTAAAATTTATATGAGCATGGCTTGTGATGTTCAGGGAGACTGTTTTACTTCTAGGGGTGCAAACCAGGCCACTTAATTATAAGATTTTTAAAAACAAGAAGTGCAGCTTGAATTGCAAGGCAATAAACACAAAGAATCTTGTAGAATAATTTTGAACATGAGAATCATCACAACCTGCTCTTGGCTATTCACTGGAAAAGAGAAGAAACTTCTCTGTCTGAGCTCTTTGTTCATGCATTCGGTTCGCTTCCAAGAACAACAATGAAACTGTGTGTTCTTCAGTTGCCTTCTTAAACTCTGCTGGAAGTGGACACAAGTGTCAGGTGATTTCACCAGACTTGTTATGATGACATTTTATTTTCTTTCCACTAAAAACATCCAGCCACAGCAACTGCAAAGGAAAAAAAACACTCTCCCAAACCTTTCCTTCCCTCACAGTGATTTTCCATTTCTGTGAGTGATGCTTTAAATAATAAATCCCTCCTGACTCTGAACAGGTGTGGGGGGGGGCTGTCCCACAGCCCCAGCACAGCATGAGCAGCAGGTTATTAATCTACAGCAAAGCAACACAACCAGGGAATCTAAAAATATCCAGGACACCTGGTTGCTCCATCTGATTGTATTGAATTTAGAAGAGGAGAGGGATGGTCCCTGCATGCAAACTGTTAGTGTCTGGTGCAATCACAACCTCTCGGTGTTGTAAAAACTTTGGAAAGGAGATCAGGATCAGGAGTTTGGAATTACTGCAGCAGGATCAGCTCGGGGGCAGCTCAGTGCTGTGACTCCCTCAGTGGTACAAGAGATGAACTAATTGTGTTTTGTCCATCAGATCTCTGGATGTCCCAGGACGTGGAAGACTCAACTGCAGTACAACCGGAGCAATGAGGCTTTAGGAACCACCTGATCCGCACTGGTAGCACTGAGGGGACCATCACTGTCAGCAGAAAAAGGGGTAAGAAATGGTACAAATTTTTTTCTATGAGCTACTTTCAAAACCTTCAGGGAAACTCATCAGTTGAATCATTTTGGGTCTATTAGCAGAGGCTGTAAATAGAATCCCAGAATCCCAGACTGGTTTGGGTTGGGAGGGACCTTAAAGACCATCCAGTTTCAGCCCCTACCATGGGCAGGGACACCTTCGACTAGCCCAGGTTACATAGTGATGCTGCAGCTCCTCACATAAAAACTCTGATACCACCTCATGATATCAAAACTCACTTAAAAATTTCCACTGAAGGGCCCTTGAGAATTAGGACAATTCCAAGGGTTAAGGTTTGCAGGAGCCCATGCCCAGCTCTGCTTTCATTCTTCTCAGCAGCCTCATATTCCCCGAATGAAGCTACTTGTAAATTTTTCTTCTCTGAGAAGATACTTCAGACTCTATTTGTGACAGTCAAAATTCTAATATATGGGCAAAATGTGTTCTCCCTGAGGCTCTTTCTTGACACAGCTATTTCTTGAGTACCACTAAAGTGAGAAAAACAAACTCTGAAGGCCAAATTCCTGCCTGGTGTTTCAGCTGGCCTTGGCATCAGCATACTGATGGACTTGGTCATGACATTCCTTGTGCTGTCTGCTCCCAAAATGACAGGATCTGGGCTCTGGGCGGGTCTGTGTGCACTGAATTGTATCTAAACTTATTATCTCAGTGTATTTTTGGCACCATTCTCTTGATAAGACTTGTAAACAAGACTCCTTTTCCAACAGCCCTTTTGGTACTTGTATTTCAGGAGCTTGCAGTGTGGGTGTCTGGTAATGCCCCTCCCATCCTTCTCACAGTAAACGTACACAATAAATTGTTCTTTTCTCAAATATATTCCCAAAAATGTAATTTTCATCCGCATCACACAAGATTTGACTGTTTTGTTGATAGAGATTTATTATGTTAGATTTTATCTGCCTGTTAAACACTTCCTAAAGGGTGAGTGACTAATAAAAATGACATTACAGAAATTGCTCTTCAAACTGCTCTGCAGATTGAAAAAAAATTCAGAAAGCCCCTCTTCTCTCCATACAAAACCTGTCCGGTCTGAGGGTGGGCACTGGGTGAATGGCAGAATCAATGTCAGTGTAAGGAACTCAGAGCAAGATCAAAAGAGTTACAGATTCCTGTAGTATAGGAGAAATTCTATAATAAATGTGACTTAAAAGGACAGCAAAAATGTGTAGTCTGAAGGTGCTGTGAGCTGTACTCACAGGTTCAGTCAAGCCTGGGACATGGCCTTGGTGGCCTGGTACAAATCCTGCTCTGTGTCAGTTCTGTCATCCATCCAACAAAATCAGCCCCATTCATCACTGACCTGGGTGGTTATAAGGTCCTTTTTTATCAGTTCACGTTCCTCCTCAAATACACTCAAAATGTATTTGCTGAGCTCAACTCTGTGGCCTCATTTTCCATTTGTTTTCTTCTGACACCTCCCTTTGCCTCAACTCTTCAGGCTCAGTAAATGCAGATTGCAGAGAGATTTGGGCAAAGCTCCCTGGAAGAAGTCAGCTCTCTTTATTCCTTGGGATTGCTGCTCAAACTGATCCCTGTGGCATAATGATTAGTTTGGGAATAAGCGTGAGGGTGATAGTGCCTGGCTGGGCAATGCAGCTGTTACTCCAGCTCTTTTCATCTCCACGTGCTTATTTCTTCCCTCATTTTTTTATTTTTGCCTTCTGTGTGTGCCATTTCCTTTGGGAAGAGGAGGAAGAAGAGTTGATATTATACACCTACATCGTGGAGTATTGTGGAGTCCCTTCAACGATACGCACTCTATTAGTAACCTTCTAAAGTATCCTCATTCTTCTGAAAACCCCAGGAGAGGCTAATGGGGGGAAAACCGACTTTGGATTATGTGGAGCACAAATGCAAAGCTGTAATTAATAAATTCTGCCCTCACTAATTGCAGAGGAGGAGTCTGTGCTGCTCTACACCCAGGATTTACACCCCATGTGTCTCCTCTTCCCTGGAAGTACAAACCGTTTGGGTTTGTACAAGTATGGAATGTTTGTACGAGGGGTAGGAATTTCAGATTTGGTTAATTCTGAGGGTACAGATGAAAGGATGAAGCCAGATCTGTGCAGGGGTCCATTTGATCCTACACAGCTTGAGATTCCCACCAGGGAAGGAATGGCAGGGTATCCCCTTTTCCCTTCTCTTGTTATCTCTGATAATCAGTGTTTTAATCAACACCCTATGGAGTTCAAGTCTTTTCTTGCTGGGATCCATAAAACACTTGACTGGCTCATCACACCAATATCCCCAATTGGAAAAACACCCATGGAAGGTGTCCCTGCCTGTGGCAGGGGTTGGAACTATCTGTGCTTTAAGGTCCCTTTTCAACCCAAACTAGTCTGTGATTCTGATCATGTAACAACTAAAACCTGTAAATTCTCAGACTTCACACAAGATCCCTGCTGAAGGGAATTTCTCAGGAAATTGGGACTTAGGTTGGAAAGAACACCTGGGGAAGCAGCTGCCCCCGGCTGTGTGGGACACGAACGCTCATTGCACGTGAATTAAAGCAGTTCTTCGGGATCAAGGCTAGGTATCCGTGAGAGGCAGCGCCGTGCTCTGAAATTAAAATACAGGGGAAACCTGATAAACAGGTATTATTAGCTCTGCTGAGTGTGCCAAGCATTAATGTGAAATGCACCTCTGATCCCTTACACCAGTGGGGAGAGCTATTAGCCCATTGAGGACAACACTGTTGGCCGTACATTTTGAGAGGGAAAAGGGGCTTTTCCCTCAAATATTCCTCGGGAGGAACATCCCGGGGATTCCAGGAGGGGAATCCTGGGCCGTGCCCGGCAGGCTGTGCCCTCAGCGATGCCCTAACCCAACATGGCGGCGGCGGCGCCGCGCGGCTCTCGCGAGCCCGGGGCGGGGCGGGGCGGGGCGGGGTGGGTGGTTCTTCATGGCGGCGGCGCGGCCCGTCAGGCCGGCGGGGCCAGGCGGCCATGGAGCACATCAGCACCCCAAAGGTAATCCTCACCGAGCTTTATTCCATTTAACGGCGGGATTTATGTGGCTGCACGCGCCGTGTTTGATCCCCGTCGGGGCAACACCCCCAGCGCGCCCTCAGGGCTGAGCGCGGCGGGTTTAAAGCCGCGGTGTGAAGGTGCTGGTGGCTCCGCCGCCGTGTTGGGAAGCGGGTTTGCGGGGGGTGACACAAGGTGTTTTGGCGGCAATCCCTGAAAATTTCCTTTGTATCCACCCCCCCTCAGTCCCAAAGAGTGAATCAAATGTACTTTTTTTTCCCCGTCAAATTCAGTGAAATAAGAGCTCCGGTAGTGCTGTGTTCAGGCGGCTAAAAATAAATTGTATTTACTTCAGGCAGCGGTTGGTAATTTAATTTTACCTTTTGCTGCCATGGAGGTTGTTATATTGTTATATTTTGGTTTATTCTCTAGGATATTGGTTTGGGGATGCTCTTTCCCCTGTTCCCTGCGTGGCTTTGCTGGTCCTGCTTGTGTCTAGTGCCCTGAAAAAGGGAAATATTATATATAATAGTTATATTTGCTGAAAAATATGACATGCTAGGAAATCATTCAGCTTCTACCTCTGTTCTGCAAGTTTCTTTGCTGACATTTTCCATGGCTTATCTCAGACAATGTAAGAAAACTCACACATTCAATACCCAAAACTAATCTATCATATACTGTTAAAAAGCTTGTTTTTATTATCCATCCAATAATTTTTCCCCATTATTTGTGCTTAATGGTGAAAGAAAATTTCCATCTACCTTCATGAAGAGGCAAATAGACCAGGAGGAAATCGATGAAATACTGTCAACTATTTTATTATGTCTGTGCTGATACTTTTTAAAGCTGCTTTTTATTAATTAGCTTGATGTGGTTTATGAAATGCACTTACAGGCCAGGAAGTGAGGTACAAGAAGTAGCTCCTAATGGTTTTTTACAGGCACTGAGCAGTTGGAAGTCAGACTGGAGAGGGCTGTTCCTTTCAGAGCAACACTTTGATTACTCTGAACACAGACAAGTCTTTCTTTGCAGTTCTTTGTCTTGTTATTTGTCAGCCTTGTCCAGTAACAAACTGGACTCATCTTGGCTACGCATCCGATCGTCCTGTTACTCACACTGGTGCTGAACCTTGGCTGTTTGCTTAACCTTTTTGGCTTTAATTCATGGAGAAATAATAGCATAAAGCTGAGCTGGTGTTGTAGGGCAGACAAATTCATGTATTTTCCTGTATTGCTTCATGAGTTGCTTATTAGAAGTTGAATGACTGGAGTCAACAGGTGTTTAGATAATTCCTCCATCAAAGTTGGACATCAGGAGGAATTTTTCCACAGCAAGGGCTGTCAGGCATTGGAACTGCCCAGGATGTGGTAGAGTCCCCACCCCTGGAGGTGTCCAAGGAGGGACTGGACATAGCACTCAGTGCTCTGGACTGGGTGACAAGGATCGGGCACAGCTTGGACTCGATGGTCTTAGAGGACTTTCCCAACCTCAGTGATTCTGGGATTCTGTAGTTTTTTCATTCTCTTTCTATGTTGCAGGTCGAGAATGTGAAGTTGCTGGATCGCTACGCGAACAGGAAGGTGGCCAATGGGACATTGTACCTGACAGCCACGCACCTGATCTACGTGGAGGCTTCTGCTGAAGTCAGGAAGGAAACATGGGTATGTTGTGGTGCCTGGGGCTGTGTAAACACACTTATAAAAGTTATTTTATGTCACAGGCTGATTTGGTTTGGGAGGGACTTGAAGGATCATCCAGTCCTGCCCCCTTACCATGGGCAGAGACACCTCCCACTAGCCCAGGTTGCTCCAACCTGGCCTTGGACACTTCCAGGGATGGGGCAGCCACAGCTTCTCTGAGCAACATGTGCCAGGCCCTCACCACCCTCCTAGCCAAGAATTTCTTCCCAATATCCCATCTAACCCTGCCCCCTGGCAGTGGGAAGCCATTCCCCCTTGTCCTGTCACTACATGCTCTCATATCCAAAATAAACAAGTTTGGAAGTTCCACAGCTCCAATGACCTTTTATATCATTTTAATACCAAATACTCAACAGAAACACTGGTTTGGAAGGAAATGAGCACAATGGTGACATGACTTGATAGAGTTCACTCATGGAATTAGTGTCAGTTCAAGGAATATAAAAAACTTGTGTAATTTCCTCTCTCAAACTCAATATACCAAGCCACCAAACTTGAATTTACAGCTTTTGTAAGTGCAGAATTAGCACTGAAATGAGCCTATTTTATTGATTCTAAAGCAAAGTGAGAATGACAGAATATATGGCATATGAGAGTGGGAAAGCAAAATGCACCAGGTAAACCAAGCTGCACATCAATCTCTGAAAGTAATTTCTGTGCATCTGTGTTTTTTCAGTCCTGCTTTAGTTACCTGGCCTTTAGGTGCAGTCTGGGTGTTTATGTTTGATAAATAATCACAAATAATCTCATTTTCTGCTGCTAGTTAGCTGCAGGAAGCATAAGTAGCTGATTGTGTTACAGAAACTTCATTTCTGCTTGTGCCGCTCGCAGCCTTATCTGAAAAATGTTGTTTATTCCCTGTTTTTCAGATCCTGCATCACCACATTGCAAGTGTGGAGAAGCTGCCCCTGACCACAGCTGGGTACCCCCTGCTTATCCACTGCAAGAACTTCCACGTGGCTCACTTTGTCCTGGGGCAGGAGCGGGACTGCCATGACGTGTTCACCTCCCTGCTCAAGCTCTCACAGCCAGGTATTGGGAGTGGGAGTCTCTTCTGGGAATTCTTGGAGCTCTCTAAGCTGGAAGGCTGGGCTGAGCCCTGGGGAAGCTCTGTCTGCCCCAGCTTGGGTTTGGCCTCTCAGTGCAGGATGTGGAATCAGAATCATCTTCTCCCACCAGAGACAAAGGATGGGCTCAGGAAGTAGAGAGCAGGACATTTGCTTAATTAAACACAGTCTTTGAAGCCTACAAGAAAGATGGAGATAGACTACTTACAAGGACCGGAGTGACAGGGCAAGGGAGAATGAAAGAGAGCAGTTTAGGTGGGATACTAGGAAGAAATTCTTCCCTGTGAGGGTGGGAAGGCCCTGACAAAGGTTGCCCAGAGAAGCTGTGGCTGCCCCATCTGTGGAAGTGTCCAAGGCCAGGTTGGACGGGACTTGGAGCAACCTGGGCTAGTGGAAGGTGTCCCTGCCCATGGCAGGGGGTGGAAAGGGATGATCTTTAAGGTCCCTTCCAATCCAGGCTGTTCCGTGATCCTGTGGCAGTGGGAATGAGCTGGTGTTCCACAAGGAACTTCTGGAGGCCTGTGAAAGGTTCATTTGCTTGACTGAGTCTGTCCCAGGCTTTTTTCTCATGTCACTCACACCGAGTGTCACATCCCATCCCTGGCCACTGTCAGTCATTCCTGTGACCTGGCTGTTTTCTGTGTGCAGTTCTGCCCTCTCCCGCTGACCCAGAATTCGGGAATCCCACAAATAAAGCCTTAAATGTTGTCATCTTCGATTTGTTTCCAGCAGCATGTTTAAGCTGCTCTGCACTGTTTGCTCAGAATGTGAGACCCTGCGTTTCACCCAGGCTGCCCTGACTTGGAGTCACTCTGAAAGAGGGTGAGCAAAACATCCTCAAAAGCCTGTGGTCTCTTCTGGCTCCAGCTTTTTATTCCCTCATGGTTGAATCCTCAGGCTTCTTGTTCTTCTTGCAGCACAGCATTCCACTGAGTTCCTACCTGCCTTCTGCCTCTGTTTTTGGGGTGCTACTTCAGTGAACCTGAGTTGTGTTATTATTACAAGGATGTAATTTGTAATTGCAATTTGTAAATTGTGTCACTAGTCTGAGGGAGGGGAATTGATGGCACCAGGCAGCTTCTTGCTGCCCTTCAGAGGACTGGGCTGGAAATCCTGTAGGAGAAATGGGTTTTGCCGAGTTTTTTTTTTTTAATTGATATTAAGGCTTGTGTCTATTCCCAGCATCCCCCTTGTGCTCTTTGGAGTTTTCTTAGTTCTGCAGTTCTGACTCTTATGCTGTATCTGGCAGGTTTCTGGTGTTACATTTAAAAGCTGTCCCTGTTCTTTGAGTTTTGCAAATTAGAGACTTAGGTAGTGCCTTGAAGCTTGGGAGGTGTCACTGCAGGGGAGCACACCAGTTTCTTGTAGTTGTTTGTCTAAATGCTGTAGCTCTTTCTTTTCTTCTGCTTAAGGATTTTAAGAGTGCTCTGGTTTTGGTTTAAAAAATGTCTGTATGTGTGTTCCCTTCATGGTTTTTTGGCAGAGTGATGGACAGCTGGGGGTTACCTGCTCTATCAACCCTGACAGGTTTCCCTCTGTCTCTGGAGCACTTGCTGCCTTGGGAGTTAGCTGAATGAGTTATTGGCTGGATTTGCATTTTATGGAGAGGGGGAAGGAGGTTGGGATGGTAAATGGCCATTTGTCAGACCCAGCCTGAAGCCTTTGTTGGGCTGAAAGTAACATTTCAGACATCTCTCAGGGTTAGAACTTGCTGTTGAAGGATGAACTTTCAGGTGTGGAAGAGCTGTTGTATGAACTCTCCACAGAAAACAGATCTTTTAGTATGTGTTGTCATTTATGGGTTAATGCTTATGACATAAATCCCATCTAACGTACCTGTTGTAGTGAATTTAGGAGGAAATCATTTGTTCAGGAAAAATTACCGCTTCAGACTTAGAATTAATTCTAACAAAATGTTTTAAGCCTATTTCCTTGCATGTGGGAACTGAGTAATGGAAATTCCTGAGGATTTCAGGAGGAATTGTCAGCCCTTGGTACTACCCTGACCAAAATCCTATAAATATGGGGTTGAGAAGTTTTAAATATCTCAAATACTCTTCTCTGCAGCACTGAATGATTGATTTCCAGAAGTTCCGGCCTCTCTGTATGTCTTTGCATCTCTTTAGTTATTAAATAGTTAATTTTTTTTCTTTCTTCTTCCCAGTGAAACCTGAAGAACTTTATGCTTTCTCTTACAATCCTAAAATGTCTAAAGAGAACCGGGAAATTGGGTGGAAACTAATTGATTTAAAACTGGATTACCAGCGCATGGGAATTCCAAACGACTACTGGGAAATAACGGATGTTAACAAGGACTACGAGGTAATTCCTGCCCCAAGTAGCCATTTAATGCAGTATCTCCTTGTTGTTATTAATGACACAGAGCAGCCCTGCTGCTGCCTCTGGGGAGGAATGAGCTCTCTTGGTTTTAAGCAGCATCATCTTGATGGGAAGTTGCAGATAATGATACTACAGAAGAGCTGCAGAGTCACCTTGGTTTGCTTTGATCCCCCTGGCAAGGGACCAGAGAATTGTTCTGCTAGAGAAATGGCAAACCATCTGTTAGGAAAAGCCTGGAGTACCCTTAGCTGCTTTTGGTATTTCTGAAGCCTGTCCCACCTGACTAGGGACAGATGTGTAGGAGACAAATAAATGGCAGCAGTTTGGATTGATAGGGGGTGAGGCAGAGTGGAGAGGGACTAGGGAAGGAAGGAGAAAAACAGACCTTCTTTTGCTTGCTTGGTTGGATCTTCTGCTTTATAAGGCCTCTCTGTCATTTCAGACCAAACTGGCTGCTGCTGTTATTTTTTTTGAAAGGCCATCTTGGATCTAAACAACAATAAACAACAGCATTTGTCAGCAAGCTTGTTCAAAATCCTGTTGCACATTATTTCCCTTTTTGTTTCTTCTAATGTGGAACAGTCAGACCTGGCTGTCAAAAAGCCAAAACAGGCAACTCTGAGGAAGAATCCAGCATATTCGGTCCTGAATCCCTTCCCCTGCTCCCCACTCTCTTCCCTGGGCAGCTTTCTTTGCTGTTACACTTTGGGTTGAAGAAATACAAGCCTGTACTGTCAGAAGTGACAGCTCATTTTACCTACCTATGTGTTTGGATGCCTGAATTGAGATGTGATGGCAGAGATGCTGTTTCCAGTAGCTGATTAAGGCACCTGAATGTGAGCAGCTCAAATCATTAATCACTCTGAGGCTGTACTTGCTCAAGTGTAACTCTCAAGTGCCAGTGCTTTAGAATTTCCTTAGGGTTTCCAGCCTGTGTGTTAAAATTGTCAAACCTAATGTAAAGCCAGGCTTGGGGAGGAGCTCATCTGTGAAGTCTATGCTGAGAGACTGTACTGGTTTGAGGAGGAAAGATAAAGCTGGTCTCTGAGGGTGCTTCCTGATTGGTGGTAACTCCTTTTCAGAATAAGATTTAAAGGGAACTTTTTAAATACAGTTGTTCTTACTTTCTCTTTTTGTGAAAAGGAATTCTTCCCTGTGAGGGTGGGGAGGCCCTGGCACAGGTTGCCCAGAGAAGCTGTGGCTGCCCCATCCCTGGAAGCGTCTAAGGCCAGGTTGGACAGGGCTTGGAGCAACCTGGGCTAGTGGAAGGTGTCCCTGCCCATGGCAGGGGGTTGGGACAAGATGATTCTTAAGGTCCTTTCCAGCCCAAACCATTCTGTGATTCTAAATCAGAAACTTTCATAGAATTTATGAATTTAAAGAACTTCTTTTAATATGTACTGGGTGCAGTGCAGTCCATTTTCTAGGTTCACTTTTAAAATTGATCCTTTCCTTCACATTGTTTTATTTTGAACCTATTCCTGTGTTATTTTCCTAAATAAATCTTAATGTCATGAGCTCAAGATGAATTTTTCATGGATTTTGAATTGCTCAGTACTAGTATCTGGTTTTTTTTTTTCTTTCTTCTCACTCAGGTTTGCAGCACATACCCTCCAGAAATCGTGGTGCCTCGAGCTGCCTCCAAGGCAGTGGTGATGGGAAGTTCAAAGTTCAGAAGCCGAGGGCGGATTCCAGTGCTTTCTTACTTGTATAAGGAAAACAATGTTAGTGCTGGCTTGGGGTGAGAGCGAGGGTTCCCCTTTTTGCCCAGTTCCCTTCTAGTGACAGGAAATAATGAGATAATTATTAGACTTGAGACATTTGAGAACTGTGCTTCTCTTAATGGCTTTAAATATTAGTTCATTCTGAGTCACAGAATAAGCCGAAGACAAACACTTGGGGTGCATCCAGAGCTCTGCAAAAAGCCCAAACTTTCCAACCTTCCTTTTTATTTAAATCAACTTTCAGCAATTCCTTCTGATGTGGGGCTTTTAAATCTCCTGTTTAGCTATATTCAATAATGTTTTACCAAGTTCCATGTTAACTCAGCTAGATTTTATTAGTATTGAAGAGGAGGAACCACCCTGAAATAAATCCCCACTAGGTCACAATAAGTGAAGGTTTCATTTTTTTGTTTTTTTCCACTGAAGACCAGAATGTAAATTTTTAACATTGCTGCCTCAGCAGTGTTTTAGATGCTGATGTGAGGAAAATGCTGTCACAGCCAAATTGTTGTTTTCCTGAGGAAATGTGCCTTGACCTGGGCACTGCATGGAGTTGTGCTGGCAACTTAAAGCATACTCAGTGCACTTCTGAGCGTGGAACAGTAACAACTGAGAAGGAAAACTGTGGAAAAGAATGGTTTGGAAATAGAAACCAAGTAGAAAACATGAGAAATTATGGCCTTCCAGTGCCTTATGAAAAGGAGAGAGAGGGATTTTTTGTAGGGGCACATAGTGACAGGACAAGGGGGAATGGTTTTAAAATGCCAGAGGGCAGGGTTAGTTGGGATATTGGGAATAAATCCTTCCCTGTGAGGGTGGGGAGGCCCTGGCATAGGTTGCCCAGAGAGGCCGTGGCTGCCCCTGGATCCCTGGAAGTGTCCAAGGCCAGGTTGGACAGGGAGCAACCTGGGCTAGTGGAAGGTGGAACATACTGCTTAGGGCGTGGAATGAGGTGGTCTTGAGGTCCCTTCCAAGCAAGCCCTTCTGGGATTCTGGGGTTCTGTGGACTGCTAACATTTGGGATCCTGATCATCAGGCAGAGCACACTGTGAGGTTTCTTGGCCTCTCTACTTAATGAAGTTTCCCAAACCTCTCGCTTTGAGAAATAGCCCAGTAAGGTTTGTGTGGGTCCAGTTAAGCAGCAGTTTTTCAATGAAAGAGAATACAATTAACCCCATTCAGTGGGTGTTTGGGGTGGGTGGGAGGTGCTGTGGGATCCGGTTTGACCCCCTGTGTGTGTGAGAGGTGCTGTGGGATCAGGGGTGACCCTCTGTGTGTGTGTGATGCTATGGGGTCAGGGCTCACCCTGTGTGTGTGTGAGTTGCTGTAGGGTCAGTGCTCACCCTGTGTGTGTATGAGATGCTGTGGGGTCAGGGCTCACCCAGTGTGTGTATGGGGTGCTGTGGGGTCAGTGCTCACCCCATGTGTGTGTATGGGGTGCTATGGGGTCAGGGCTCACCCTGTATGTCTGTGGGGTCAATGCTCATCCCATGTGGGGTGCTGTGGGTGAACTGTGTCTGTGTGTTGCAGGCTGCCCTGTGCCGCTGCAGTCAGCCCCTGGCCGGGTTCAGCGCACGCTGCCTGGAGGACGAGCAGATGCTCCAGGCCATCCGAGAGGCCAACCCCGGGAGCCCCTTCATGTATGTTGTAGACACAAGGCCAAAGGTACCTTCCTGGGGTTCTGGGCTGCTTCTGTACCTCATGTCTGAATTAGTAAAGCTGGTTCCAGGTTACTCTGGCACAACTGAGATTAGCTTGGTTGGTTAGAGTGTGGTGCTATTGCCGAGGCTGTGGGGTCAGTCCCTGTATGAGTCACTCTACTCATTGATGATCCTTGTGGTTCTCTTCCAGTTCAGAATATTCCAGGGTAACAACTCTGCCAGTGCTTTCTAGGCTGTGTGGGATCAGGGATGCAGGGTCACCTGGTTCAGGATATATAACTGCAGAGTTAAGTGCTGTTGGGATCTGGCACTCCTGGAGTCTCCTGGGTTGAAGTTTGTGGCATTTCCCTGCAGAGAGTCCATCATGTGTTGAGTTGGGAAGAAGCCTCAGAATGCAGTTTCATGGCACTGGATTCTTATTTATCTATCTATTTATTTATTTATTTGAATATATAAAAATAAACGAGACTCCATATAGACTTTTTATTTATATACACATAAATATATATTTATAAATAATAAATATGTTTGTATAAAATATTTATTTTATTTATATAAAATGTTTTATTATATAATAATTACATATATTTTGGAGAAATATATTTATATTTCTACACTATAAATTATATTATTATATTTATTATATATAATATATATTATATATATATATATAAATATACAAAATATAAAATATTTTTTATGTATTTATTGGCAGACCTGAGAGGAAGTGAGGCTGTGTGGGGTCTGATAACAACTAAGAAAAGCAATTGACATATATATATTTATACATACAGATAAATAATATTTTTATTTATATAATAAATATATATAAGTATATTATTTTATATGTGTAATATAAATTATATTGCTCTATTTATTATATAATATGCAATAAATTGTATATTAAAATAAAAATTATAATATATATAAATATTAAAAAGATACACTATTATTTGTATATTTACTGGCAGACCTGGCAGGAAGTGCAGCTGTGTGGGATCTGATAACAACTGAGAAAAGCAATTCCTCCATTTTTTTTGCCTTTTAAAAATACACCAGTGATGTGCAGCTTGGAGTTTAATACACTTCAACTCTTCTGGTCCATAGCCACTGTTTGGGGCCAGAAGTTCAGAGCTGAGGGTTTTATTTAAGAGGATATTGATAAAATACTAGCAAAATTCAATCTCTAATGACTGTCACCTCGAGGAACTGAATTTAAGAACCAAATCAAATGATTCTCTTGTAAGCATATGGATTAGGAGTGTTGGTGTAAGGAAATTAAAACACAAGGAATTTCATAGCACCCAAGTATTTAAATGCAAAGATTTAAAAGTGCACTGACTGTTTTGAAATTGAGCTTTCTGAGAACCTGCTTCACTGTTGAGATATTGCAGTTATTTTATAGACACTGCATATTTAGTTAAAACTATGGCAAGGGCAAGAAGGGAAAAGTCTTTTGGGGAAAATGGGGAATGTTTCACCTGTTGTTCCAGTGTTATTTTGCCTTTTTGTACTGTGACATTTCCTGAGATCACCTATTCTGTAATGATGTATATGTTTATAGCAATCACTGCAGATTTTTTTGGTACAGGCAGCTTCCAGTGTCAGAGATGTTCCCCTGAAATCCATCCTTGATGGCAATTTTGTGCTAAAATATTTGGTGAAAAGGGGATAATTTATAATTGGTGACATTTCTCTTTCAAACCCCACATACCTTACTTTGGATGGTAGAACTGAAACACTGGAGTTATTTGATAGTCTTAAACATGTCTGTACCATAGCTGACTTTTCCTTCCCTCCTCTCTATGGAGGCAAATCCCTCCTCTGCCCAGAGTAACCTGGGGGGAGGTGGAGCTCTGTTTTCTGTCACCACTCAAGATTTCCTGTAGCTCTTGAACTGTTTGGGTTAATTTTTAGGGCAACTGGCTTCTTTTCTACTTTTCTGCAGTTCCAGTTGGTTGCTGTATTCTTCCTGCTCGACTTGAATATTTCTATGTTTCCCTCAGGTGGCTTTATTTCATCTGTGCATGTATGTCTGTGAAAAGCTTTGGAATTCTCTTACTATTTCTATCCCACCGTGTATGTATGTTACTGGGAAAAATGACTTTCCTAGTTTTGCTTTCCTTTACTTCTCTCTGCATTTCCTTAGGTAGCTGCACAGTTAGGGCAGGCTCAGTGTCTCTCTGCCTGCTTTGATGACAGCAGAAATTGGGGAAATTCTAGACAGGGTCTTAATGAGCCTCTGCATATGAGTAATGGACTGGAGACACTGGTGTAATTTTAGGGAATTAATGTCTGGGAGGTGGGGAAGTACAGCTGAGTAACAGCTTTGTTCAGTCCATTTTCTGGGAGATTTTAAAAAGAAAGAACGTCTTGCAAAACAGGCTGATTTCTTTCTGTAGAGTGTTGTAATTTTCCCTTCCTTTTCTCTCCCATTCCCTTGGATTTGGCAGTTGAATGCCATGGCCAACCGAGCTGCTGGGAAGGGCTATGAGAACGAGGACAACTATGAGAACATCCGCTTCAAATTCATTGGCATAGAGAATATTCATGTGATGAGGAGCAGCCTGCAGAAACTCCTGGAAGGTGGGTACAGCCCAGGGACTGGCCTTTGCTACCCCTGGCCACTTTTGGACAAAAAAATATCCAAATCCTACGTGCACAGCATTGTGCTGGGAGCAGAGTCAGTGTCTTGCTTTGTTTGCTCTGTGGAAGTGGCTGAAAGTATCATTGTGGTTAAAATGCTTTCCTGCTTGACATTTGATTTGTTCTTGTGCTTGGTTTTGTAGTGGTTCAAAACCAGCAGCCAACACTAACAGCATTCCTTAATTAATGTGCCAAATCAAAAGGAAAAGGGTATTACATTAGAAATACTACATTTTGCAACTAAGTCTCATGGTTGCTTCATGAGGTGGTTGAAAGAAAACTAACAGAGGTTGTTTAGGAAATATTTTTTGGGGTTTGATATATTGAGTTTGGAGTATTTCAGTGTTATCTGAATTGAATCTGATTTCAAATACAGTTTCAAATTTCTAATCTCTGATTTGACATACATTTTTGGCATGATCTTCCAAAGGTTTGAATCTCATATGTACCTCGTTCTTACCTGTCATTTATTTCTGATTTCTTTTGATTAATACATAAATTCATTTTTTAATACATAAATATATTAAAATGCAGAACCTCAGGTAATTAAGCTCCCTGTTATCTTAGGGGAAAAAGCAAAGCAGAGCAGAAGAAATACTTACCTGAGCCATTGGGGATCAAGAGGGGGATGATCACAAGTAGGAGTCCTCAATTCCGTGTTCCTGGCAGATTTATTTTGTGGTGGAAGAGAAGGCAGAATAAACACTTGATTGCTCCCATATTCTTCAACAGTGATAAAACCTCACTCTGGTGCTTATGGACTGTTAGTGAACTTAATTACTGTCAGTATTTTCTGTGCTGGGTTTCATTACAGTGAGTTGCCTTCAAGGTTAGACATGTTATTTCTCTCTCTGTAAATTAGAACTCTCCTGTCTTCAAATCTCTGTGATGCTGAGGGAAGGGTTGTAGATGTGAGTGTGATGGTGATTTATAGTGAAGTAACAGATCGCTAAACACTTGCTTTGTTGGAAAAAACTGAGCTGAGAAAAGAATGAGTTACCATTGAAAAAAAGAGGAGGATATTTTCTGAGCCTGAAGTTCTTACACAAACCAGCAGTTTTTAGTTATGAATTTTAAGTATTCAACCAGGAGTTTCTGTGTCCTTTAGACAGGATGTTGCTGCTGACACTTTAAAAATGTAGCTGTTAGGATACCAGGCTGTGGAGAGCTAATGAGGAGGTGCGGGAGATGCTGTTCACAGGGTGTCAGCTCATTTCTTTGTGTTTGTTCTTAGTGTGTGAAATGAAATCCCCCTCCATGAGCGACTTCCTCACTGGGCTGGAGAACTCGGGTTGGTTACGGCACATCAAAGCTGTCATGGATGCAGGTGTCTTCCTTGCCAAGGTAAAACTGCTCTCCAGCCTGCAGGTGAATTAAAAAACATGTAGTTGTCTGTTTGGGAAGGTGGAGAGACAGTGGGAAAACACTGCTATCCAGGTTGGCCTCAGCTCTCCAAACCAACTTGGAGGACATAAGTGGGTCATCCAGCTGGGCTCTCCTAGACACTGCTGTGACAAAGTGTTGGGGTGTTGTCCTGTGTGCTGTTTTGCAGCAAGCGGTTTCTGAGGCTTTATTAGAACTCATTTGAAACAGGTAAAACCACAGAATGTGAATAAAATTAAATAGAAGCAGTTCTGTCCAGTAGTGCAAACAACTCATAACCCTGGGCTCATTATTCAGTTACCTGCTCTGCTTTAATGGCAGGATTGTTTTGACCAGTTTATTTGCTGGATTTATGTGATGTGGACACTAATTTTGACTATTGAACACAATCCTAATTTCTGCAGAGCTCATGACTTTGCAGGTCAGGAAAAGGAGAGAAGTCACTAGGGCTCTTTTGGAGGAGTAAAGGGTGTGCAGGAAATAACATTGCAAGAGTCGTGAGAGTAATTGTCTCTTAGAATTTTCCCATGTAGCAAACATGAAAATGTTATTGTGTTTTCCTGCCACTGGTACAAGGGGAAGAAGATGATCCATATGGGAGGAGGTTGGGATCAGCTCTTCTAATTTGTCTTGAAGTTCCTGATCTCCATGTGTCTGATTCTTTACCCATACACCAAATCTTTCCTCAGAGGAGGAGACTGAGAATTCTTGGCCTTTCAGGAGACTGAGTGTTTGAGATCACAGGCTCTGTTTCTTGGCATTCTGTTGCTGCCAAGACACGGTGCAGCATTTCATTCTAGTTGGGGTTTCTGTGGGTTGATGTTCAACCCACAGACATTGGTGCATTTCCGTGGTCCAGATGAGAAGTGACAAATATTCCTCTGGAGTTTTAGGTAAATATAGATGAAGGGGTAGCATTTATTTCGGAAGTCTAGCTGGAAAGGTGCTGAAGTGCTGTGTGTGGTGTCTCCTCAGGCTGTGAGGGAGGAGAAGGCCAGTGTCCTGGTGCACTGCTCCGACGGGTGGGATCGCACAGCCCAGGTCTGCTCCCTGGCTGGGCTCCTCTTGGACCCCTTCTACAGGACCTTCAAAGGCTTCATGGTAAGGACACCAATGTTGGAATTTTAAAAATTCAAAACTAAAAAGTGCTTCCTGCATTGGAAAGGTAAACAGGCACTAATTAAGTGTTTGAGGCCCTTTCCTGGCACAAGCAGGAGGTGACCTATATAAAGGAGCTTTGATTCTGTAATGAGCTTTAATTGCTCTGTGGGCACAGAAGGCAGGGGTTGATTTACAATTCCCGAATCTTTGTTTCCTTGAATGTCCACATGAGAGCCACTAATGAGAGGTTTCAGCAAGAGATGGATGAGGGAAGGATGCAGCTCTGGCTGCAATCCACCAAAAAGTGCTGTAGGAGCTTGTCATGTAGGTGTCTTATCTGCCAAGATTTCGAATTGAGTGAACTCACTGTCGAGCACGAGGCAGTGTATAACCTGTATATCAGTAAAATCTGCCTCATTTCAGAGCTTTTTAAAAGCCATTTCATATGAATTTGGCTGTTTGCTTCTAGTGCAGGCTTCTTCTTTTTTGCAGCCATCCCTCCGTGAATACAGTGCAGTCTGGGATGTGCCTTTCCAGTCGTCCCTTGTTAAATACCTGAAGAGCTGCTGCTCTTTCTCAAAAGAGATCCATATAAGAATCCCTGGAATCACAACAATGCAAATTTTGCCTTCTCCCGTGCCAGGACTGTTTCCTTACATTCCATGCTACTTTTATTATTATTTTTGCTTTTGGATTATACTGCAGGTTTTTTTAACAGTTAAAATTGCATCAGCATAGGAAACATCTGCCTGGGCTTTGGCTGTGAACAATTCTGCATGAACTGAGAGACATGAATTTCTTAGGAACAGGAGCGATTACTAACACAGATACATCCTTGGCTGTCCCTTGAGACAAGGGTTTATAGGCACAAGTCCCCTGACAGTGGTTATTCCTAAATGAATTAATGAGGAGTGTTAGGAATGGAAAAATTTGATAAGCGATATAAATGAAGTCTTTGAAAAACTCTGTTGCGCGTTTTTCCTGCCTTCTGTTCTTTAAGCCTCTGCATGATGAGATCAGGAATTGATCTTTAGATATGATCCAGCAAGAAATAATGACTGCAGCATCAGTCATGTGGTTCCTTTTGAGACATCTTTCATGAAAACACTGCTTCCTTTTTATTTTCCTATAGCTAGCACAGGGATTCTATTTAAAATAGAAATTGGTTGTTCTGATTTCATCCTGAGCTCCTCAATACGCAGCTGTACTTCTTATATTCCTATTTGTGTGTTAAACATTTGTTGAATTCCAGCTGCTGATTTATTTTGGTGAGTTAAATAGCACATAGGGCAATATTAAGCTGTTAATTCTTTTAGCTCGGTGTGCTTATATATTATGACTTTAAGAACATAGAAGCTCCCTCAAAATAGTACTAGACTTGCTGAAGTTCTCATTCCAACAATGCCATTGCACTGGTAACTGGATAATCTGTAAATCACAATTACTGTTCCCATTGATTTCTGTGGATATACTTGTAACTATAGAGTCAGCAGCTTTTTAGGTTTTATCATCAAAGGCTTCACTTTTCTTTTTTAACCAAAGTAATGCTCTTTTTTTTAATCCCTCTTTTGAAACTGCAGGTTCTGATAGAAAAGGAGTGGATTGCAATGGGCCACAAGTTCTCCCACAGGTAAGAGGAGCAGGTTATTTGGGTAGAGTGACTGGGTGGGACTTGACTGGGAAACCAATACAGTGTCTTCAGGTTTTTGTGCTCCCAGGAAAAATGTAAAGGAAAATACAGGTGAGGGAAGAGAAGATTTGGAAAAGACTGGAGTTGGTGACATAAAGCCAGTATCTTCCAGGGCTGTTATTTCATCAGTGTTTCTTTATTACTTTGCAGAATTATAGGCTTGAATTCATTGTCTGAATTCTGGGTGTTTTCCTACCCGAAAAATTGTATTATTTGAGGAGTGCTAATCATAAAATCACAGAATCATTAATGTTGGAAAAGACCTCCAAGATCCTAAAGTCCAACCATTAACGCACCCACATGTCCCTAAGTGCCACATCCACTCCAGGGGTGGTGACTCCACCCCTGCCCTGGGCAGCCTGTGCCATCAATAAGGTTCTGATTCATTCTTTTGCAATTATCTCCTGAGGGAAGATCTCAGCTGCTGTTTTTCAGGACTTTTACTGAGTTCAAACCATAAGCTTGAAGAACTGGAAGAAGACTTCCCATTTTAATGTTTAGGGGGCTCTTTTTGTGTTGGGTGACACAGGATTTAACCCTGTTTACATCTCTCCAGGTGTGGCCACTTGGATGGGGACCCCAAGGAGGTGTCCCCCGTGTTCACCCAGTTTGTGGAGTGTGTCTGGCAGCTCATGCAGCAGTTCCCCTGCTCCTTTGAGTTCAATGAGAGGTTCCTTCTGGAAATCCATGACCATGTTTACTCCTGCCAGTTTGGCAACTTCCTTGGGACCTGCCACAAGGAGCGTGAGGATCTCAAGTGAGTTGGTAGTTGGTAGAGCCAGAAGTGACTTGAAATGTCAGGAAAGGGGCAGGTTGGATGTGTTTGTGTGTTTTAATATAACTCTGGATTGGTTAAGGGTAGCATTGTCTTGAGAGATGCTAAAAAATTATATCTCAGAAGACAGATGTTTTAATTTGGACCACAGTAAGCCCTTCTGGATTGGCTGGTGGATTATATATTCCTCAGGGATGTATCTTGCGTTTATGTAATTAATCAGATAATGTGTAAAAATAATTCATAGCTTCCTTAATCTAATTCTCCTCTGAACAGTTAGAGTTCTTAATCCACTTGCCTCTTTTTTTTTAGTGATTAGATGTTATTTGTACTTGACAGAATCTTTGAGAAGACCCATTCTCTGTGGCCTTTCCTCTTACAGAGGAAGCAGGAATTGAGAAATCCTTTGTACAGAGGATTTACAGCTTACAAAGAGCTTCAACCAAACACACTGCCTTTCAGTTTCCAGTAAGTTGCTCATTTAAGAAGGGGGGATTTCTTTCATTATGATGTAGATTGATAATTCGGGTTTAATAAAATAAATTTGCACTGATCAGCTTGGTTTGTTTTACCCTTCCCCTCCATTCCTCACCCATTAACTGAGATTAGCAGTGCACCGGTAATGGTTAAATAAGTGCAGGTGCTGTAATTTAATATTTTTTTCTTTGGGGTTGAGAAAGAGGGTGAGGAAAGGCAAGGAAAAACATAACTTCAGATGAAGATAGAACCACGCGCCCCCTGACTGCTTGCTCTGTCACATGTAAGTCATAGGCTAGACAGTTGTTTGAGAAAGTTCCTCTTTTTCTCCTTTTTAATATATATTAAGAAAGTCTTTCAAGCAGGAATTTTGGTGCCCAGTCACACCCAGGCTGATGCAGTCAGGGTTTTTTTCCCAAGAAGGGTGTTCTGGTTGCTTGCCCAGGGTGTTACAAGAGGTGGTGAGTTTGGCTTTGTGTCTGGTCCCTTCTGAGGGAGAGGGGGATGCAAATGTGTTTTTAAGTGCTGTATGTGGTTACTGGTGGGCAAAGAGGACTTGAAGGCGAGCTGCCCAAGCCTCCAGTAAGTCTGCTATAGAAAAAAAAAAGTGTATTTTCATCCTATTGTAATACCTACTGTCAGGTCTTTTAACTTTATGAAAATTTGCCCACTGAGTCAGAATTTCATAATCCAAGGCCGTGGTGGTTTTTTGCAATCAATTACCTACCACAAGCTGTTGAAAATTCTTAAAAGAATTCTTGAAGAAAATTCTTTTCTTAACAGAATGTTGGCAGTAGGGCACAAGTGACCTCCTAATTCCCTTTTCCTGCCCTGTTCTTGAGGTTTTGGTGTGGGATGTACAATCGCTTTGACAAAGGGATGCACCCAAAACAGTGTGTGTTGGATCATCTGCTGAGCTGCATGAGCCAGAAGCTGCAGCTGGAGGACAATGCATCTGAACTGGAAAACGTGAGGCTATTTATATTTCTTTAGTATTTCAAATCCCATGAAGGCTTTGGCCAATGTATCTGGGTTTAAATATTGGCACTGGAGAGTTGTTTCAGTAAGCTGGGCAAAATGAGGGGTTAAATGACAAGGTTCTGTAGCAGTAGATTTGCTGTTTGTATTAAAAAAAAACCAGAACACCCACAGACAAACTAAAAAAACACATCTAAAAATATACCAGTGAGAAGGCTATCACTGTCCTTTGCCAGTTTAATGTGGATGCTGAAAACTTCAGCTTTCCTAATTAAACTCTGGTCTTTGTATCAAACATGTGCCCATGGACTTCAGTGCTGGAAAAGAGGCACTGGCACAGGGCTGTTGTGTTGACAGCTGATTTTTTGTACGCTACTGACACCTGTGAATAGTACCTTTTATTAATTTTTTTTTAACATCTTTTTATTTGTGTAGAAACTTCCTTTCCTTGATGGTCCTTTGCCTGGTGAAGCTTCCTCCTTCCCCAGAGCAGGACATGCTGCTCCCAAAGCCCCCGTGCCCAACACTCCTCAGGACTATGGAGGGGCAGCACCCCCTGTGCTGAGCAACGGGACCTCCCCTGGAGCTGGGGGCTCAGCTGTGGACCAGAAGCACAAAGAGAACCTGTCTCACCACCACCAGGATCTTGGTGCCTCCGCAGAGGTGTTGGACGGGAATGCTCAGCACCAGTGAGGAGCTCTGGGAATGCTCAGCACCAGTGAGGAGCTCTGAACTGTTGGGTGAAGCAGGCTCTGGTGGGGTAACCCCACGGGGTGCAGACCCCCATTTACAGCTGAGTGTGAGTACAGGGTGTGCTGGGGGAGCAGGTTGGGTTTGGGACACATCCCTGTGCAGCTGGAATGATGCAGAGCTGACCAGGAGGCTCCTGGAGCTCATGTAAACTCGGGTTTTGGTGGAAGCATGTGTGTTTTTAAGGTTTGTGGCTGCCTGCCAGCACTAGTGTTTGAAGCTGGAAGAAATCCTGGCCAATTAATGCTGAGAGTTGGGCAGTGTTTGTAACCAGAGGAGAGAGGATGCAATCTGTCTGTGCTCAGTGCCAGTACAAGGTCATCTTAAAATGATAAAAAATTCTAGTTCATCTTAAAATGATAAAACCCCCCACCACCCTTTCTTAGCTGTGAATGACTCTCTGCATGGACCCTCACCTTGTAGCAGAACTGACTCAGTTTTTGTTTCCTATGCATTTTTGTTACACAAAACCAAACCCCCGTGCCTTTTTCTGAGGTTGCTCTCATATCCAGCCACACCATGCGCTGTTTTTATTATTGTAGTGTAAAGTGTAGTGTTGGGTCTTTGTAGTCAGTATTTCTAAGGAGGTTTTTACCTGCTGCAGCCTCCCCAGGATCTTTGCTGATCCCACTGAGTTCAGTAGCTTCTTTCTAAGCTGACCTCTCGAAGAATAAGTTCTTATGGACCTCATTTACTGCAGCAAGCCAGAGTCAGCCTGTAACACATGGATTTTTGACCAGAGGGAGGATTAGAAACGAGAAAAGATAGGAAAACATTTCTGTGGAACTTTTCTCTCTTATTTTATGGTCTTGGTTAAGCTGAAGCAAGACAGTAACTCCGTTTTAAGCTGGGATCAATGTGCTGTCTCCACATCCACTGATGAGGCAGCAATTACAGATGAGCTGTGTTCTCTTATTGAAATGGGGCCTAAAATGATTTTATCACTTGCTGAGTGATTACAGAGAATGTTATCTTGGATGTTAAAGTTACATGGACTGCTGGGATGTTTTGTCTGTACCATCAAGATGTGGTGAGATGAACAGTGTCTCTCGTGGCAATGAACTTGGTAATTTTATGACAAAAGGGAAATTGGGATGTGAGCCCTCATTGGAACATGAAGTGAACATGAACACCTTGGGACGTGGCTGTGGCTCCAGGGCTTGTTAACGCTACTTGGAGTCTTCCATGTGCTGGAATCTCAACTGGAGATACAGTTCAAAGTTGCAGGTTTAAAACAGGGACGTGTATTGCATCTATACAGAAGCCCTGTAAAGAAACAAGGACTTTTTTCCCCAAGGAATGGGTGTCCCTGTCACAAATAAGTGTCTGAAGGTCCCTCAAAGAACCCCCAGCAAAAGCAGGTTTCATGGAACAGTAGAAGTGTGACCAAGTTCATTGGCAAGGTTCACTCTACTGCTTCATATACATGGTTAAAGCACACGCAGAAAAAGCACACTAAAAGAGAAAATCAATCATTGTAAAACCAAAACCAACCAAAAATTATCCACCTGGAGGCTGGGAATGGAAAAGGGTCAGGATAAGAAGGAATAAGGGAGAGCCTCCTGTGGAGGCACAAGGTTCAGAGTAGACCACACTGCCAAACTGGGCCCTGGGCTTGACCAACAGTTTAGGCCTAAAGGTTTTGTAGAATCATAAGCAGCACTTAAACTTAACAGCACTGAATCCATAGCTGGAGATAAACAATTTACCAAAGGATTCCTGGAGGATTTACTAAAAGCACAACTCCCTTGGAGGCTGAACTTCCTTACAGCTCTAAAGTACTTAAGAATCCAGGAGAGCAACATTCCCAGTCCATTTGCTGTGGCATCCCACAGCCCTAAAGGAGTGTGTACAGGTATATCCCTGGGAGAAATTCCCCTGGAATTCAGTGAAGGACTCGTGTTGGATGCCTTTGCATGTTCTCAGCGGGCAAAGGGTTGAGGTTTCAGCCCTGGCTCCTCCAAGTAGAGCAAACTTGAGAATTTTGTGGCTCTGAGAGGTGTCCTGCTCCAAGGGAGATGCTGGTGCAGCCACCTGTGGTCTAGGAGAGCTCCAAGGGTCTCACTCAGGACTCCTGAGTTGGCTTTAGTCACAGTCATTTTCCATCCTGACCACAATTTGGGTCAATAAGTTCTTTGCAAGATCAATAAACAATGTTTAAAAATCAATAAAAATGTTGTTCAACTTGTTCAGGCAAGAAAAATCAGTTTCCAAGGCTGTTGGTTAAAAACCAGGAGCTCATTATCCAGCAGAGTTCCTGGGAACAGACTGTTTTTGAAGAGCTCACGAGTTCAGCCCAGGTGCTGTTTGTCAAGGCGAAGGCCTAAGGAGCATTTCTGAGATCACAACGTGGCCTGGGAGAGGTGGAGGATGTTCCACCCCCAGGAAAACTATTCCACGTTCTGGACAAGCTTCTACAGATGTGCTTAATTGCACAGAGTCCCTTTGTGCAGTTAATTCAGGATGCTTTTTTGCTTGCTCTTGAAACTGTTGTTTAGGTGCTGCTGTTAAGTTTTAAAATCAGTTTTTCTCTTTTATGAAGCAAATATTGAAGTGAGCCTTCCCAATCTCCAGTAAGAAGTAGAAACATTCCATTATAGCATCATAAAATGCAATATCTGCCCCTCATTGTGTTTATAACCCAGGGTGAAATCACTGGGTGAGGTTCGGTCTTCAAGGTAAAGTAGAAAAAAAACAACCAAAAACTCCCCTGAGTGTCTCACTTTGGGTAAGAAAATATCTATTTTATTAAGCATGTCAAAAGACTCTAAAAGGGCAAGAGCCAAGAACACAGAGTTCCTTCACTGCCTGGAATGGCAAAGAGGAAGTTTTTTAATACTGGGGGGTTGTCAGTCATAAAGCAAATAATAGAGTTGTTTTCAAGGAAGGAGTGGGAGCTGAAATGATTGATTAAAAACCAAGCACACGAAATGCTGCCCCAGCTATGACTTACAGATCAGCCTCTGTCTCTTCTTTCCAGGTGGTACAAGAATGTACTGGCTTCTTGGAGCAATCTCAAATGGGAAATGAGGCCCAGAAAGGGATTTTTTAGGACCAAGTATTCTAGAGATCATCAGTTCTTTTAATATCTTTAATATCTCTGATTTTCATTAGAGATACAGAATTGTAGAGGGTTTTGACTGACTCCTGAAGGTTTTAGACACGTCATTGATTAATTATTGTGTAAAACCAGCTTGCAGGAGGATTCCGTAAATGTTTACACGTTGCCTTGTCTTTGGAATTGCCACAGATTACCTTGAGAAAGTTTAATTATTATTAATTATTCCTGATCTCTACAAATCCTCTTGACTACAATGTTACTACAGGAGTGTGTAACCACCACCAGGTCACTTCAGACCCTGCAAGTGTTGGTAAGCTTGTAGTAACCTTTCTGCTTTCGACTTCAGTGACAGAACAATGGGTGACTTTATACTTGGAAATGCAAAAATTCATGTCCTGTCTTTTTAAACCTCTTGCATTTAATGTGTACAGACTTGGTCAAACCTCCAGTGTATTAAAAATCATTCATGCTGGTGCTGTAATTTATAAAGCTGGAAAAGATTCTAGGCTTTCCTGGCTTTCCATGAGCTTATTGGTTTGAAAAACCGTTAGCAAGAAGCTTTTTAGTTTTGATGGTAACTCTGGGGTGCTTGAAGACCAAAAATGAAGGTCAGGTGGGATCTCCTTCCTGAAGCATTCCAAGAAGCCTATATTCCCTCCTCATGGAACGCCCTGCTGACTTGATTCTCTGTTTCCTGGAAGTGTTAAAGGAGTGGAAAAGCTGTTACATAGGAATCTGCTTCAGCAAGCCCTGTATGAGAGTTACTGTGACTTATTTATTCCTAGTGGAGCTTCCCTGCGTCCTGAGGTCAGAAATCCTGCTTTTATTTGGAGCTCTTGAGTGAACAATGCAACTTCCTTCCATTTGGATTCTTATGATTGGGAGAACTGGGAGGGAGAAGGGATGTGGTTTGCTGTGGGTGGGCTCTGTTTGTGTAAAGCTGGTTCTTTTCTGGAGCTCCTCTGGCTCCACCGGGTCCCTCCAAGGCTTCCCCAGGACCCTCCTGCCTGTGCTCAGTGTCCCTCCTGCTACAACCAGGTGTAACCTTGCAGTAGGTCACATTCTATGTTAAAACTACTACTTTGAAGTAGAAGAGGGACCTGTGGAACTTCATTTCTCAGTTGAAATGTCTTAATGTGAACTTCACTCTGGTGGATCCTTAAACTGTGTTTTGTTTTGCAGTTGGCAGAGAAAATGCAAGGGGTGCTGTTTGCTCTGCTGGAAAAAAAAGGGAATAATGGGTTTGTCCATAGTTTTAGTTCTCCACTGGCCTCTTAATAGGTGAGAAAAAGCAGTCTGTTAAAGGTTTAGGTGTAGTTTCTTCCTGGCTGCCTGGTCTGTTCCTGTGCTCAGTGGTTGGCTGAGTTAAGTCCTTGGAAGAAAACTCCCCCTGCAGTGTGGCTGGTGCAAAAATGCCTGGGATAGAGGAGGACACTTGCTTGGAGGCAGCTGGGAAGCTTTGCTTTCAGTTGTCTTCAGGAAGCTTCTGGAATCCTGGAGAGCAGGATTTGCCAGGAGCTGAAGGTGTGCTTCAGAGGATTTCCACCTGGAGTGAGACCTTGTGGGGTTACAGGTTGGAATCTCCATGCTGAAGGGCCCTGTGACTGCTGTTCCCAGCAGGTTTGGAGACACAGAGCCCTGGCAGGAGCTCCCAAAGCTGCAGCACCCACAGGATAAGCATTTCCAAGGGAAGAGCTCCTGTTCCAGGCACTGCTGCCTGGTCCTTGGGCAGCCCCAGTCCCTGAGGGTCACTACCCAAAGGATCATTCCTTGGCACAGTGTAGTAATGGATATCTGTGAAGGACCAGGAGAATTCCTGCAGTGTCTGTGTCACTCCTGCCTGTCCCACAACTCTAGGTGCTGGGGTTGTTTTTGTAGGGACCAACCCAGTTATTCCTTGTTTACATTCCAGCCCTCACGCACATCCAGGCACTTCCCTGGGGGGAAGAAGCTGCTCTGAATGTACCAGTTTTAATTACTACCCAGAGCTTGATTAATTAGCTGAGGGACTAGGTTATCTTAAGTCCATGTTCAGGCAGCCAGGTGGGTGCCAGCAGCAGTCAGTGTCATTTGTTGGGGCAGGTGTTGTAATAATTACATTAACTTGACGTCCAGTTAATAATTACATTTATTTAATGGCCCCTCTGCAGTGCAGGAGCGGGGCAGGAGGGCAGTGGGTGGTGTGTCTCTCCCACCATTTCTCTCTGTAAATGCATCTGTATTTAATGTAGCAGATACTCCTGGAGTAACTCGTAGCACTGGATCCCATCCCGAGCCCAGATGAACCTTCCCTGTCGTCCACAAACTGATCTTTGTAGGAACATTCCCAAAATTGTGTGTAGTGCTGGCTGGAAACGTCAGTGTTGCTGTTTGTCTGTGTCACTGCTGAGGGACAGTTGTGTAAGTTGTGGGTGGTGAAACTCCCTGTTCCAGAACGTTCCATGATGGCCCTGTGTGTCAGTTTAGTTTGTGCACTGCTTGAAAAAATAACTGTCCATCTCTAGAGAAGCACTGTGGTTTTTTCTCTCTAAATGTATTTGTCCCAGGAAGTTTCACTTGTATTACAATTTATTTTTATTCCCTACAAAAATAAACACCTCGCCTTTTTAAAGTAGATAAATGGCTGGTCTGATCATTGTTTATTAATTAACTCAAAGAACAACTTCACACTTGGAAATGTGAAGTCAATTAAAGGATCTTAAGTAATGAGCTTATCTAAAAGTGAATGTGGTGCCACTTCCCCTTCCTTTACAGGAGAGAAACTGGGTGGCCTTAATGGTTTTGGGGGGTGCAGCACTGCCTAGGTTCTTTAAAAACAACCCAAAAATTATTACTAATGAAGCTGTGTTAAAACTTAGTGTCTTCTTTACACTGTGCTACTCTGATATTTTTTAATTAGATTTTTCTTTATACATAAACCTAAATATCTTTAGATATTAAAGCCAAATATCTTCAGTGTTTTCTTTCTCCTGGGAAGCTGCTTGTGTCTCAACCACAGGTGACTCCAGGCTGACTGCAAAGCTTCCTGAGGAGCAACCAGAGCTTCTGGCCTCTGAGAGGAGCTTAGTCCAACCTTTGTGGGTGATCCAGGCTCCAGGTGAAGAGATTTCCCTGGTGGCTTTTGAGTGACGAATCCACAGCCCCACTGCTGAGGGTGTAATTTAAAAATGCTCTTTTATCCCATTCTTTTTAGTCATTAATTCAAAAGTCAAGGTGAGTTGTTACATTTTCTGAGTGCTGGCAAACTCAGGTGAGGTGGGAGAATGCTCAGGGAAGAGGGGGATTCCAGGTGCAGAAAACTTGCCTTGTGTTTATGAACGAGATTGGAATCAATACTTTACTTAGAGCTGTGCAGCAACAGTCAAACCTACAATTAAATCTGCAGAGTGGTGAGACATGAGGTGAAAGGAGTTGATTTGATGTTTTGAAGGCTTTCCCAAGTGCTTCAGGCTGCCATTTGCATTGGGAGATGCATGTGGATGGTTTAAATCTGCCTGGCAGAGCCGTGCAGGCTATTTCAGTCATCAGTCTGAAAATAAGCATTTGGAGGTTTTTAATACTCGTGTGGGAGCTGAGTAACAAGGAGGGGACCTGCAGGAGATGCTGGTCCTGAGCTCTCCATCCTCACTTGGGGCAGGATGAGCCTGTGAACCCCCGGAATAGACCCCAGACCTGTTATTGAGCCCCTGATCAATATTTCCCACTGCACTGTGCACCTTAAAAATGGGGATTTTCTAGCTATTAAGGCAAAAAATTAGGCCTGGCTCTTGGGTATACTCAGTCCCCAGGTGTTTCACAGCCTTTTTTTCCTTCTTGCTAATTTTAAATGTTCTTAATGTTGCCAGTGAAATCCTTCATTTACCTTAATTAGACTTGCCTTACATTTAATTGGATTATTAGCATTAACACTGACTACAATTGATAAAGCTGCAGTTTACATTTGGGGGAAATTCAGGTGAAAGGTGTGTTAATTGTAGCTTCCCTTGCCTGCAAACAGCACGTAGATTGGAGCGTTCTCCTGGAAACTGTATTTTCCTGCTCTTTAGGGGAGTGGGGGGGGGGATACAAAACCCAGTAGCCTTTGGAGTAACAACCCTGAGTAAGGGTTATAGTAAATGCTAACCCTTAGTAGGGGTTACTGAGTAATAAATGAGTTAGTCAGAGCAGGGCAGTGGGGTTGGGAAAAGTCAAAACTGCTTTATGAATCTGATCTTTTTTGCTCCCTCTCTCTCAACAAAGGACAGATCTTGAAGCCTGCTCAGCCATGGGAGAGAAGCAAGGAATTCAGCGTGAATGAGAATCCATGAAGACATATCCATAAGCAAAAATCCCCATGGATGGATCTGCAGATTGTCAGGTGCCGTTGCTGTTGAGGGATTTCCACCTGGGAACGTTCCAGGCCAGGCTGCATAAACTTGGAGGAAACTGGTTTAGTGGAAGGTGGAACTGGATGTTTTTAAGGTCCCTTCCAACCCAAACCATCCTGGGATTCCAGGCTCCAAAAGGGAGCTCCCAGAAGGCCGTGGAAGCAGGGAGCCCAACTCCTGTGGCTCCAATGCTGCTGAAATTCCTCAAGGAGGAGAAGAAACAGGTGCTGGATTCCTCCTTCATGTCTAACTGTGCATTTTGGGTGTTAACGCACCAAGTAAATTGGGAATTGCCTACAATGGAGCAGTGGCTGTGCAGGTATGTGCAGGAAGCCAGGGAATTCTGTGCGGATGTCTGTGCCCTCTCCTGGGGAATACCTGAATCACAGGGCTGCTGGAGCCACCTCCTGGCTGGGCAGAGAGAAGATGGCCAACAGAATCCACAGGGATAAGTGCTGGAATGTGATCAGCATGGAGGGAAGCTCCCAAGCTCAAAGGCTTCACTGCGGTCTGGCAGCGACTCCCAGCTCAAAGTAGCCCCACTCAGTAGTTGCGTTTCTGACCTTGAGGACTGTTAGTAAATCCTTAATCCCTGCAAAATCATTTATTTGGCACTGTTTAACTCCAAACTTTTAAATCAGGATGCTTAGCAGCCTTAAATCCAAAAGCTCATTAGTTCTCCTCAGCTGCCTTAATAACTATAATCTCTTTAATGGAAGCAACTCCGGACAGGATTTACCTTCCCAAAAAACCTTATTGACTGGGATTAAGTACACTTCTGCCTTCTAATTCTTCCCCAGTGAAGGAAGAGCTGATAAAGAGTTGCTTTGCTGGAGCCCAGGCCGGGTCAGCCTCTGGCTCAGGACAGCTGCTCGTGCCAGGAGCTCCTAGAGGTAAAGGGTTTTCCTGACTCCTTGGCCTTCCCTGGAGTTTGAAGCACTGGGAAGCTTCTCCAAAATGGGTCAGGCTTATCAGTCACCTCTCACTGGGCTCCCATCAGGGTTTATCTGGCTCTGCTGATGTAAATATCCACGTGGGATGCATGGAACACATTCCTGCAGCAGCGCAGGGAGCACCAGGAGCATGTCTGTGTGATTCCAGTTGAGGAGGTTTCTCAGCAAGTGCTTCCTCATTAGTATTTGGGTTACTCTGCTTCTTTACCAAAGAGCTGCTCTTGTTTCTAAGATCTTTCTTGGGTAACAACTAAAGAGCAGCAACAACAACAAAATAATAAGCAGTTTATCATTAATTTCCCTTTCAAGGGTTTTCCTTTCATCTCCAAGTTTCCTACATTTCACATTTTCTAACATGTATTCACTCTGTTGTCTGCACTCCCTTTTTTTCCCCTTTATAACACTGTCTTTTTAATGGCTGCTTTGATTTCTGTGTTTTGTGGGTTTCCAGCCAGGCTTGGCTTTTGTCACTGCAGCCTCCCCGTTGTGGTCGCAGCTTCTTGACACTCAGTAAACCTTGAACTCTCTACTCCTGCTCCCATGTTTATCCACATAATACTCCACAATTCCATTGGGGAAACTGACCTTGTTGAAGTAATAACCTATTTTTGGCTGAATTTGGAGAGTGAAAGTACAAGGAAGCCAAAAGTCTAAACGCAGTCAATACTGAGCATTTCCCTGCTCTTCAGCAGGGCCCACAAACCAGGTGGTGGTGACATGGGGACATCATACATTTTGCAGAGCCCCCTGATTTCACTTCTTGCAGCAGTGGAGATTTTTCTCATGGACAATTTGGTTCCCCTCTCATTATCTTGTGCCACTGATAAGTCTGCCTCAAACTGCCAGGCTGTTCCTGCTCCACTGCCGAGGACTTGGGAGAAGGCTTCAAGGGAACTGGATAAAATACAATTACACTTCCCAGCTGACAGCTTTTGATAAGAGCCCCAGTGCTGTTCTCTGCTCCTTTTGTTTGCCCTGTAAAGTTTCCTGCCTTCCTCTCTGCTGCTTAATTTTACAAAGCCATGGCCGTGGTTCCTTCTGGCAGGTGCATCCAGGGGAGAAGTAGGAGCACCTCAGGAGGGAAATCTGGACTGTCTTCAGTGGCTTTTGTTCTTCTAGTGTTTAATAAGCGATTCTGGATGATGCAAATGGCCATTTTTGTTGCTGTGAAAGGGGAGAAGGTGGTTAGGAGAGGGTTTAAGAGGGAATTTGGGTGACTGGCAGCCCTGGCAGGGGACCCCAAACCGCCCAGTTCCCTGTGATTCCTTTGAGGAAACAGTGAAGCAGATGCTTTGTGTCTGCTCAGATGGGTCAGGCAGCCCCCAGCACCTGTCCCAGCCTCCCCCCACCTCGCTGCCCTCACTATATTTACCCAGGGGGAACTTTCCAAGAATGGAAGTGGTAAGATAAAACCCCTGAGGGGCTAAAATTAGCCCCAGGCCCCGGCCCTGTCCTGCCGTGGCATTTCAGCTGTGAGCTCTGAGCCTGCTCTGGTCACACAGAGCAAGTGGCCATCCCCAGCAAGGTCCCCTCTCTTCTGCTCCTGGTTTTGGGTTTAATCCACGGGAGGACTCTTCATGGGACCCCCAAGGCCTCAGGTGCTGTGAGCATCCCCCTCTCCCCAGGTAAGGCAGCAGCTCCAGGACCCCCGGCGGTGGGAGATGGGAGGTACCTGAGAACCAGCTGTACAAGTGGGTTCTCTGTCACAGCCTCTTTTTGGGGGGGTCTGTGGGTGCCTGGACAGCTTCTTCCAGCTCAGGACATGACAACTTTCTCTGAGGGTGGGAAGGCCCTGGCACAGGTTGCCCAGAGAAGCTGTGGCTGCCCCATCCCTGGAAGTGTCTAAGGCCAGGTGGCCAGGTTGGATAGGGCTTGGAGCAACCTGGGCTAGTGGGAGGTGTGCCTGCCCATGGCAGGGGGCAGATGGCATGAGCTTTAAGGTTCCTTCCAATCCAAACCATTCTGGAATTCCATGAACTCTGGTTTGGGCTCTTCTGGTTGAAGAGCCTCTGTGAGCTCCTCACACAAGTACTTTCACTGTCCAAGTAACCTTCCTTTGGAGATCCTGTTTGTGTGTTCAGGAAATGTTACAGCTGCTCTTTTACTTTTCCACACTGTTCCCCTTGGAAATATAACTTGTAATATAACTTTCTTTTTGAACCAAATCTGCAATAACCCCCCCAAACCCAATTAGCCATGTGTATGGGGTGATCCCAGAGCTCCAGAGCTCATTATCAGCGTGTCTAATGAATAACAGCAATGCTACAATTCCATATATTTCTATATAAACTGGGACGTGTGGAAGCCCAGCAGAGCTTTGCTGTCGCCCAGAGCCATCAGATTTGTCCCACTTCCCCCAGCTGTGCCATGGCCTGGCAGCTCGGGGGCAGATTTGGGACGGGCCCCCCGGTGGCTGCCCCGTCGTTTGCAGATCCAGGTTAATTGCTCGAGGTGCAGCTCTTTGGCTCCTCCGAGGGCGGAGCAGAGACCGAGCTCTGCTCTGCCGCGGAAACACGAGATGCCACAGGGCTGCCGAGAAATTCCTCTGCCCATCCCATTTCCAGCTGGGACATCACATTCCTGTCTCTTGCTGCACTGAGGCCACGTCCTGCACCCAGAGCCCAGCAGTCAGGGGCGGGGGGGGGAGTTCAGTCTCTGCTCAGTATGATCAGCTCAGCATCCCCCCTTCCTCCCACCACCCCAAACCCCTCACTACGAACATCCCAGACCCAGCTATGTTCCTTGGGCTGAAGGAGGAGAGAGGAAAATTGTGGAATTCTAATGCTGTCATCGTTTTGGGAAGGGAGAAGCTGAAAGGTGTTTGATCCCTAATCAAACCAACTCCCTTCACATTCACCTCATCCTCTATTTTGAAACCCAAGTCCTGTAAAAACTGGCAGGGGGTAAAAACCTTCCAACACTGCCAGCTTTTCATCCGGGTTTCCTGAAACACTTGGAATTGCAGGTGCTGGTGAGAGTCCCAGGAACGAAGCAGAATTGTTTCCCACTCTTTTCCAACATGCTCTTTTCTCCCAGGGAGAACTGGATGGGGATTGCTGAGAGTTTGGGAAATGGGAGGCTTTGCCCAGCAGTGGGTGCAGGGGCCTTGCCAAATCTTGTGGCACCCAGAGTCTTCCTGAGCTCCAGGTTGAGTATCCCATGAGGAATCTCTTACCCTTTACCCCCTCAGGGCTGATGGAGCCAGGCTGGGAGAGCTGGGGGGATTCACCTGGAGAAGAGAAGGCTCCAGGGAGACCTGAGAGCCCCTTCCAGGGCCTAAAGGGGCTCCAGGAGAGCTGGAGAGGGACTTTAGACAAGGGATGGAGGGACAGGATAAGGGGGAATGGCTTCCCACTGCCAGAGGGTGGGGTTAGATGGGATATTGGGAAGGAATTCTTCCCCGTGAGGGTGGGGAGGCCCTGGCACAGGTTACCCAGAGAAACTGTGGCTGCCCCTGGATCCCTGGATGTGTCCAAGGCCAGGTTGGATCAGCCTGGGCTAGTGGAAGGTGTCCCTGCCCATGAAACTGGATGGTCTTTGAGGTCCCTTCCAACCCATACCATTCCATGATTTTAAGGGAACATGACCCATGTACCTGCTACACCTTTGCCCTCTGTTGTTGCCTCAGCCCTTCACCCACAGGATTTCCTCACGTGGTGGCAGGGCAGTGCTGCTCATCAGCAGCACGAGAACCCGATGCTCTTTGTCCATTCTTGTTTTAAATCTTCCCCGTATTGTACATTAAAAATAATGCTAAAAAGCTGGCGTTGGTGTCAGGGGCTGGTTCTCACCTGATTTTGTCATCCTGTAGATCTTTGCCTTTATCCTTTACCATGAAAGCAGCACATGGGCGACAGACCCCCGAAAATGAGCCTGATGGACATCAACAAAATGTTCTCCATGCTCCAGCCCAGGGATGACGAGCAGGAGGACAATGGGGAGAGCGAGGAGCTGAGCCGGGCAGTGTCTGAGGATGACTGTGAAACGCTGCATCGCCTCCTGTCCCAGGACAGGTACAAGAGGCTAATCAACCGCCGGAGCGGCTGGGGGGTCCCCAGCACCCCCCTGCGCCTGGCGGCCACGCGGGGTTGCGTGCGGAGCCTGCGGGTGCTGCTGGCCCACGGGGCTGAGGTGGACAGCCTAGATGTGAAGGCCCAGACCCCGCTGTTCGTGGCCGTCAGCAATGGCCACCGTGAGTGCGTGGAGGCCCTGCTGGATGCTGGGGCCAGTCCCGCAGGCAGCATCTACAACAACTGCTCCCCGCTGCTCCTCGCGGCCAGGGACGGCAACGTGGACATCCTGCGGCAGCTCCTGGAGCACGGAGCAGAGCCCAACGTCCAGGCCAGGCTGCCCCAGTGGGCAGCCAACTCAGTGTCCTGTTCTGGACCCTTGTACCTGGCGGCTGCCTACAGGCACCTGGAGTGCTTCAGACTGCTGCTCCTCCACGGGGCTGACCCCGACTACAACTGCACAGATCAGGGGGTGATCGCCCAGATCAAGGAGCCCAAGACCCTACTGGAGACATGCCTGAGGCACGGCTGCCATAGCAAGTTCATCAAGCTGCTCATTGACTTTGGAGCCAACGTGTACCTGCCCAACGTGCCCGTGGATGGGCCGGCACCATGCAGCGAGGGGCTGGAGCTGCTGCTGCAGGCCAGAGGTAACCTGGGGGTGGGCCCAGGGTTGGAAATAGGCACTAGGTTTGCTTGTTTAAGCTGCTGCTGATTCCTCTTCCCTTTATCTTTTGCTTTACCCAGGCTTTCCTTAAGCCTCAGCTCCCTTTGCAGCATCACTTGACTACTGCCCCATCCCTGGAAGTGTTCAAGGTTGAGCTGGACAGGGCTTGGAGCAACCTGGTCTAGTGGAATATGTGCAAGATGGGCTTTAAGGTCTCTTCCAGCCCAAGCCATTCTGTGATTCTATGATTCCCACAGCCTGGTATTTCCACTCCATTGTTGGATTAAAGGCTGCTTTTCACCATTCCTCTCCTCTCTGCTGCTCAACTTGGGCTCTCCTATACTGCCTGTGTCAAGGAAAAATGCACTTATTTCCATACGAGGATGGAAGGTTTCCTCTCCATGCCCAGCTCCTGTGGAACTCGTGCTGCAAAGCTTGTGTCTGGGTCTGTGTCCCCAAACATAAAAGACCTTTGGTTTTCCTAGAATCATGGAATGCCTTGGGTTGGAAGGGACCTTAAAGACCATCTAGTCCAACCCCATCTATTTTTGATCTGTCCATGTCCTTTTGCTGGGTTGGAGGGGAGCAGGGTCTTGGGGGTGACCATCTTGTTATTCCTGTCTCCTCACACAGCTCATCCCAAGTCCCTGCTGTCCCAGTGCCGGCTGGCCATGAGGCGAATCCTGAAGCAGCCTGGCCACCTGTCCACCCTCAGAGAGCTGGAGATCCCCACAGTCCTGGCCAACTACCTGCAGCACCAGCCGTGACACACAGCCTGCCTCCAGGGACAGCCACTCTGACATCTGGGAGTGAAGCTCTGAAATCCATGGAACCAACAGGAATTTGTGTCACAAAGTCATTCCCATCTCCAAAATTGGTGCCTGTGTGAAAGGTTGGGGAGGGAAGGGGCAGAGGAAACAGGACACCTCAGCTCCTGGTCTGCATCAGAGTGATGGTGGAGCAGGATCTGATTCCCTGGATCTGCCTCTAAACCTCCTTACCGAGGGATTTTTCACCTTGAGTTGATGTTGGTTGGAGAAGGGGTTGGGAAAAAGTGTGGAAGGCAGAGGGAGAGGAGCAAAGGCTGCTTTTCCCTCATTCCCTCCTGGGGGACACAACCAGGTCTGTGCCTGCAGGTTCCCCCACAATGTGGCACCTGCTGTCCCTGAACCCCCTTTCCCATGGTGGGGAGGCCCTGGCACAGGTTGCCCAGAGAAGCTGTGGCTGCCCCATCCCTGGAAGTGTCCAAGGCCAGGTTGGACAGGGCTTGGAGCAACCTGGGCTAGTGGAAGGTGTCCCCCCTGTTCAGCAGGGGCAGAAGTGGGGCTGGACCCAGCCATGTGTGCCCACCCTGGCTGGGAGGGGTATCCAGAGTCCAAAAACCCCGACTTATCTCTGACCTCAAACATCATCTTCCTCACCCCAAAAGTGGTTCTTGTTGTAGCTGAGGGTCTTCTGTGACTGGGTTTTAATTAAAAATGTTGCTACTGTTGCTATTAAACTCTTGTGACCCATTTGGGGACATATCCCATATTTGGAAGAGCCCAGCAGACCAGCTGGCACCATTGAAGGAATGCAGGGAATTGCTGTGCCTGGGGAATTTCAGGATGAGCCTGGAGTGATGCATCCCAGCACCACCTCCATGACTCTCCATCTCTCAAGCCTTAGACATTGGGATCATCCTCACTGGTGGAGGTGCCTTTCTGACTCTTCCCACAGCCAGGAGCTGACAGATAAACCCCAGTGCTGGTGATGCTCTGGAGCAGTTTTGGGATGCAGCAGAATGTGTTCCTGAGGGTTTATTCCATCCTGCCCTAACGGCATCCCAAAGGGAAGCACTGCCAGGAGAGGTACGGGGTTGGAGCTCCATGTCAGGAGCTCCAAAGATCACTCTTGGCCGAACACAGGACTCCTGCAGGATTTATGGGCTTGTTTCAAGGGTCCTGGGATCTATTTATCAGCATCTATTAATTAGGCTGTGAGGCCTCTCTGAAGGGGAGAATTAGGGCTTGGATATAGCTGGACAAAGCATTGGGAATTGCTCCATAGGGGAACATAATGCTCATGGCATTTCCCTCCCCATCCAGACACTGTGATGGTGATCCAATGGGAGATGGGGGGTGGGAGAGGGGACTTTGTCATGCTCCAGGGGGGATTTCCACCCGTGGGAGGGGCGAGAGTGTTTCTTCTACTCAAGGGGCCCATGTGTCACTCCCACATGGGGATCTGAGGGGGCTTTGGAATTTGGGGGGTCCCCAAAAGGAGGAGGAGTTTTCAGTGCCGGGCTGCTCAGTGCGGCGTGAGATAGGGGGGAGCCAGGTATGTGAGAGGTGGGGGTGAGCCGGGGGGTGACTGGGGGGTCCAGCTGGGCGTGCAAGGGGTGTGATGGGTGGTGAGAGCTGGAAGTGGGCCATGTGGGGTTGAGCTGGGGGAGTGATATGTGGGTGGGTGCCGGGGGTGCAATGGTGGGTGCTGTGTGTGAAACGGGTGGAAGCAGGGTGGCAGTGATGTGTGGGCTGGGGGTGCAATGGGTGAGTGGAGCTGGGGGTGCAAGGGGTGGCTGCTGGGGGTGTGAGAGGGGTGTGAGCTGGTGGGGGGGACGGGTGGCGTGAGCTGGGAATGCAGTGGTCGGTGTGAGCCGAGGTGTGACCCAGGTGTGTGATGGGTGTGTGGGTGTGAGCCAGGGGTGCGATGGGTGGGTGTGAGCTGGGGGTGCAACACAAGTGTGTGATGGGTGGATAGGTGTGAGCCGGGTGTGCAGCGGTGGCCCGCGGGTGACACCCACGTGGGTGGCAGCAGCGCAGGCAGGGGGGGTGTCCCGGCGCCACGCGCACACGCCACCGTCCCCCTAGAGTCACACCATATCACATCCGGCAGTGCCACCTGCCCCCGTGTCCGCGTGTCCGGGACCGCGTGTCCCTCTATCACCCACCGCCCCGCGGCCACGCCCCCACAGGGAGACCACGCCCCTCGGCCCAGAGGACGCCGAGCTCCGCCTAATGAGACCACGCCCCCTTCTCCACCGAGACCACGCCCCCGTCACCGCCCAGACCCCCGCGGGAGTGACGTCACGCTCCATAACTGATATCCCACCATGCAGACCACGCCCCCGAGGCCACGCCCCATAACTACGAGTCCACGGCGACGGCCACGCCCCCTGCACCGAGACCACGCCCATTTCACAGTGATTTCACTGCGGAGGCCCCGCCCCGCCTGAGACCGCGCCCCCTTGTCACTCTAGCCAACGGCAGAGGCCTCGCCCCCGCCCTACGAGGAGGCCCCGCCCCGCCCGTGGCCCCGCCCTCATCGTCACGCGGCACCGCCCCTGCCGCCCGAGCCGGGCGGACCCGCGGCCCCTCAGCGGCCTCAGGGCTGGGCCGGGGTCCGGCGGGTCCCGAGAGCGTCCGGGGGGCCCCGGGGGGTCCACGCATCCCCCACCGGTAAGTGCTGCGGGAGGATGGGGAGGGTCTGTCGGCGGGCCTGGCGCCGCCCGTGCCTGCGCCTGCGGTGCCTCTTCCCCGCGGCCGGGCCCGACCGCCCCTCGCTTTCTCCTGGATCCTCCCGAAAGTTTGGGAGCGCGGCGGGGGGAGCGGGGAGGGCCGGGCTGGGGGGGCCTCCCCCCGCTGGGCTGGGCGGGCCGGGGATCCCGCGGGGTCCCCACCGCTGCGGTTCATTGTTGCGGTGCTTTTTTTTGTTGTTGGTTTTAAACCCTGTTTTTCGCGCTTTATTAATCGGGGCTCTTTGCCCTCGGTGCCTTTCATTTTTCTTTATTTTCATTTTTATTATTTTCATTTTTTTATTCTTCTCCAACACCCCCTTCCCCCCTCGTGCCCGCAGCCTGTGCTGACGTGGAGCCGGGGAGAAATGATTCCCAAATGGAATTTTTGAAATCTTGGCTCTGTTTCATCCCCCCCATTGCTATTTTTTCAAGGAGCCCCTGTCCAGGTACAGGTGTGGGGTCATTCCACCCCCCAGTTTTCCAGCAGCCCTGCACAGGTACCAGGTGTGGGGGTCCCTTCCAGGTCCCTTACATGTTCCAGAGGCTTTGGAGGCATCTGGGACTCCGGGAAGGCTCTGGCAGAGCTGGAAAAGCCCATTTTGCCAATGGGAATTCGGCCCCAGATGCACCCTAGCTGCTGGTTCCAGAGGGACAGTTGAATGTGAGGGGTTACCACCAATCCCCGAATTCCAGAGTCATGGAATGGTTTGGGTTGGGAGGCACCTTAAAGCCCATCCAGTTCCAACCCCTACAGTGGGCAGTGATGTCAAATTGTAGAGGCAAAGCAACCCAGACCTGAGGGAAAAAAAATAACCCTGAGATGGCAGGTTTTCTGTGGGGTTGCAGGAGCAGAGGCCTTTTGGATGTATTTTTAATTTGGGATCTCTGGCTAAACACCACGAGGAGCTTCCCTGGCCTCACACTGGTCAGAGCTCAGCCTCAGGCATCACAGCTTGGCAGTGCATTAGGGTTTTATTGCATTTAATTTCTCCACCCTCATCTCTGCAAAAGAAACATGATTGTAATTGTTTTATTTCTCCCGTTTCTGACAGCAATCCAGGGTCAGATTTCCAACCTACCTCTCTTCTTCCGGGATAATCTGATCAGGGGGTTCACAGTGGGTGTTTTTAATGCAATTCTCCCTCGCTGGACAGATTATTTAAAAAAACCCAGAAATCTTCTATTAAGAAAATCCAGCATAGTAACCCAAGTGGGTTTTTTTGCTGGACACGTGTGTAGTGTGAGGGCTGTGTCCTGGTTTGGCCTCCCTCGGGATGCTTGGCACGGGGTGTGGGAGGGTGGGAAGTGGGGGTTGACAGGTGCCAACCCTTCTCCCTGCTGGAGCAGCCTCTGTTTCCTCACTCAGAGGTGGCTGGTGGCCGAATCTGATCTCCCTGGAGGCAGAAATATCTGGGAAGCTGAAGGGGTTGGAGCGAGCTGGCTTGGGGGTTGGACCTGCCTGTCCCCAGGGACATTGCGTGGTAGGGACTTGCCTTGTGATTTGCCTGCTCTGGCAAACTGGTAAATTTAAGCATCGCTGCATTTTGGTGGCTGGATTCTGGGAGTGGAGGGAGCTCAGAGACTCCTGCAGCTCCATTTCCAGCTGGTGATGTAGCCCTTCTCCCTGTGACACCTCTTGCTCTGCACCTTCCCCTCACCTCTCTCCCCTTTCCCTCTGTCCTAGGTCAGCTGTGATGAGCCCATCCCTGCTCCAGGAGGGCTCTGCTCCTGAAGCTGCCCTTCCCAGCTAGATCCCAACCCTGCTGCCATGGAGATGGGCAGCCTGGAGGAGCGGGCCTGCGGTGACCAGCGGCGGGAGGAGGGCGGGGATGCATCTCCTGAGGGTGCCAATAACTCTGGGGAGCCGCAGCCTCCGCCGGCTGGGAAGCTGCGGAAAACGGCCTTCAAGCTGTTCGGGGGCAAGAGGAGCATCTGCACCCTGCCCAGCTTCTTCAGCAGTCGGGGCAAGGGCCAGGGCAAGAAGGGGCTCAGCAAGTGCAAGACCCATGACGGGCTGAGCAGTGCCACATCTGACAGGGCCCAGCCCGACAGCCCCTTGGATGTGCATCCCGGCCCCATGCCGTGCTCCCGAAGCGCTCAGCTGCCCGGGGACACCGGAACCAGGGGGGACCTGGGCCAGCAGGACAACTCTCCCCCTGGGAGCATCGAGGGCTGTGACAAAAAGCCCAATGGGGACAAGTCCTCCTTTCCCAGGCCCAAAAAAGGCCTGAAGGGGTTTTTTAACAGCATCCGGCGGCACCGGAAGACCAAGGCTGCAGAGGGTGAGAGGGCAGAGCTTCCCGAGTGGAACAGGGACCTCGAGGAGCCCAGCAGTGCCCCAGGGGTGGCAGTGGAGAG